GGCTACCAGTCACAAGGGGAGACCCTTCGAGAGATCTGAGACTTCAATGTCTGCCCGGACTACCCGCACTTCCTAGTCCTACTTTATACCCTGCACTGATTGATCTTTTTCGCTGGGAGGAGGCATGCATTGGCAGCACGAAACTGCAACACAAGCAATCGTCATCATATTGCGCAAAGGCATCGCTCAAGGTCAACACTTTCCATTCCCAGCTGACACCCACGCTCCACAGTCCAACGTTCCGTTGTTTATATCATCATCGATAAGATCTGGCAGGGCATATGCTCCACTCCGCTCCACTCCCAGGCCTCCAGAACGGAAGGGGGGGCCAAAATGATTTGTGCGCCGAGGCCAAGAGCACCCGCGCACGCCTTTCTCTTTTCGCGCCAAGACGCCTGGCCTGTGCAAACAGAGTTTTCAAAGTTGCGCGAAACTGGAAATTAAAAACGCTTAATGTGCACTTCCGGTAACAGAGGGGGAGCGGGAGGGGGAGGGGGGCAGATAGGGTTAAGAAGAACGACTCCAACTACGACTCCAAAGGCAGAGGGAGAGCCAGAGTCAACCACTTATCGGAGCCATCAGAAGAAGGGGCAACAACAACGATAACAACACCCATAGAAGGGGCAACAACATTTCACGTTAATATGTTTGTTTGTTTGTTTGTTTGTTTGTTAGCCTTTTGTTTTTGGCTTTAACCCTTTTTTGGCACGTTTTCTGTATTTTCTTTCTTTCACGTTTTTTGTTGTTGTTGTTGTTGTTGTTTTTTTCGCTAAATGTTGTTTACTTTTTTTGTCATTGTTCGTGTGTTTTGTTGCCATTTTTCTTTTGTTTTTTTTCCCCCCCAACGTTGTTGCTGGCCGACTGCTTAACATTCACCTACTTTTCACCTTGTTAGCCGCCGCTGCTGCTGCTGCTGCTGCTGCTGTTGCCTCTTCGCCTGCTTTTGGCCACGTTTTGAAAAGCTGCATCTGTACGCTTGGCCCTGGCTTCAAAGCACGGACAGCAGACGGCAGACGGCAGACAGGCTTCAAATGAAATTAGAAGTTGACGCAGTGCGAGATGAGAAAGAGGAGCACAAGGAGCTGGAACAGAAGGCAGAGGGGAGTAGAGGAAGCAGCAGAAACAACAACAGCAGAAGGCATTAAAGTCAGCCAAGGAAAAGCCAAGACAATAAGGTGGAACCCCAAGGAACGACCAGAGTGATACCCAAAGACGCAAAGTTCATAGATTTTCCCCAGGGAACCAGAAGCTGTCTTGCCATCTACAGCATACCCTTCCGCCATACATCTACTACAGGGTATAACAAAACAATGCAAAATGCACACAAGAAGCCCAGAGAAAAAGAAGCTGCTGCTGCTGGAAGCCAAGGCTGAGGGGCTGGCACGCAGGAGAAGCAGGCACTAGACGTAGATCCACTCTCGACAGCGGCAGCAACAAAAGTGGGCTCTAAGTAGAAAGTTAATTAGGCTTAAATGTGCGAGAAGTCGACGATGACGATGACGACGACGGGCGGGGGGGGGCGGACGGAAGGACGGACAGACGGACGGCATTGAGTAGCAAATACTACAACAACAGAAGCAGCAACAAAAGCCAATTAAAAATTCTTATGCTTTATTTTTATTTTATTTTTTTTTTTTTTTTTTGCTACAGGCTGCTTTAGCTTTTGGCTAATAATTATTTCTGGCCAAAAGCTCGGTTCGGCATCTGCTTGTTAATTAATTTTTATGCATTTCTACAAATGTTCAATCCGAAAAAGTTTTCGCGTGCAGCGAAGCGGACCCAATCAATGGCCGGCAGCGAAAACTTTCGTTTCAAGTAAATTTCACTCTTGGCCCAAAGGCAGTGGCAGTGGCAGCGGCAGAGGCAGCAGCATCGGGCCATCACCAACTTGGGTTGACATTAATTGGAGCCATTAAACTGTGTTCGCTAATAAGTTGGCGGCGTGCAGCATTCCACCAAAGTTTCGAAGGGCAGACCCCCCCCCCCCCCCCTGGCTTGTTCTCGACTTTGTCCTTTACTGGCATCAGCCTCTGGGCCCCTGGCCGACATCTGGGTGGGAAAATCAAACCGATTAACACTTGCCGATTGTTTGCGGGGTGATATGTGGCCTTAACGACATCACAATCTGTGCCCCGCAGGCCACACGCACTGACAGGGCAGACATGGGGCATACCTTTTGGCTGGACGGCAAGACCTACAGAGCGATATTTGTATGGGGCTTATAGGGCTCGTAGGGCTCCTTCAAGGGGGGACCTTAATGGAAATGGTTTCATTAGTATTAGACCATCAATAATCCTTGTTCTTAGGCCGAAAATTATACACAATAATTGTGTGAAAGAACTCCCTGGAACATGTATTTTTTTGTGTTTAATTTTATTGTATTTAATTTATATTTTATTTAATATTTTTTTAACCTTCTTTAGTACGCATTCGTAATCGTATTATTTGTGGTTTTAAACCCCACTTAAACCCGGAAAACCATCGTGTTGCCAGCCAGATGAGATCACCCATGGAGCCCAGGCCCAATGCCCAAAGTCAGCCCAAACGCGGCCCAAAGGTCGCCAACGAGCCCAGGGCCAGCGGCGGCAACTAATTTAGGGCTTAACTCTAATCAAAGTTGAACAGAGATTAGAACACAAGCCGCACACACACACACACAAATTCGTGTCTGAGCGCCTCAATTGAATTGTGTGGGGGGAGGGGTAGAGGGGGGGGGGGGGCTTTGGGGCTGCAGCATCATCAAAGCATCGAGTGGGTGCGGTGTGGTCAGTGCTAATCTACTGTGGAGCCGAGCGTAACCACAATAGGGACACACTCTGTGGCTACGTGAAAGAGAAGCTGCCCTACATGCCACATGCAACTGCAACTGTTGCATAGTTAAAATTTCAAAATGAATTTCATAATTTCAGTGTGCTGCAGCTTTGTATTATTAACAGTTTTCAAAAGAGAAAGAGCGAGAGAGAGCGAGAGAGTAGTTGTCGTCCGAAATACAACAAAAGCTCTTTTATGTTTTTGGCCAACATTTTCCGCCTTCTGCCCAGTTTTCTCAGTTCTGAATTTTCCATTCCACCAACTCGATTCGCTTTTCTCTCTCTCTTTCTCTCTCTGTGTGTGTGTGTGTGTGTGTGTGTGTAACCGGGGTTCCTGTTCCATTTATTATTTATGTGCATTTTGATGTGGAAAGCATTTTCATGTTTTTTTCTTTATTTTCCTTTCCCTTTTTTGTTCATTTGTTTTGTTATATATTTGTGCTTCTCTTCTCTTCTCTATTTTTTTTTGTTGTTTTTGTTTTCTGTGGCATGTTGCATGTAGTTTTGCTAGTTGCAAATTTGTCTCTTTTTATACCCCAAAGGCCAGGGGTATATTAGCCGGAATGAAGCGATATTCCCGGCGAACTTCTGTGGCAAAAAACCCTCGTCCTTGGGCTGCTTGAACACCTGGCCTCTGAGCACTGGTCAGTGCCAGAGCAATGAGCTTTTGCCAGCCGATACTGGGTATCCTGCTGTCGATTCACGAGCTCCAAAAACGGCTTCAACTGATTCTTCTATTTTTGTTTCGTTTTGTTTTGGGGCAAAGAAAAGTTTCATGTAAAAAAAGGGAGTAGGGGGGGGGAGGGCTGGTAGGGTGTTTTGCGTATTGTCATTTTGGATAACATTGTAATGCAGCTGCAACGAAAAGTTGTTTCTCTTTCTGCCATTTTTTGTTTTTTTGTTTTGTTTTTAGAGAGCTGCAAAACAGAGTTTCCACTTCACACCATTTTCCATGTGGGTTAATTAGCAACAGTTTTTCCAACCACTTCCCACTTGCCCCACCCTCTTTGGCGCCTTGAGCTGAAGGGAAATCACTTGCGTACTTGCAGATACATTTGTATCCACAGCATACGCATGTGATGAGAGATACTATGTGTGCAACAGCATTTGAATTTCCGCACTGCCTTGGAAAATCCAGTTCCGATTTAGCCTGCCTTAATGAGAGGCAGGGGCAGGGGCTGGGGCAGGGGCTGGGGCTGGGGCAGGGGCTGGGGCTGGGGCCGGGGGCATAGATACGGCCAGACTCTTGGCCAAATGCTGATGTAATGCCACGCACTGGGCCCCCAGGCATTGCCCCCTTCCTAACGGCCCATTGTGTGTAAATTTGTTACCATTTTTTCGTCTTCTTCTGTTTTTTTGTTGTTGTTATTTTGTATTGCACATAAAAGTAATTTCTAATTTGCTGGTGTTTTATTGTTTCTTTTTTTTATGGCACCGACAGGCTTATGCAACATCTGAGTGCGGCCAGCCAGCGGCGCATGCGTACGCCGTGCATCGCAGACCGTACAGTGAGCCCTGCCAGATGGCCGGGGCCCCTCGCATCGAATCGTAAAAGCATAACGGCGTTCATTAATCATGCAGGCCGGGCCGGGCCATAAGGCGGATGGAAGAACCAAACACACACACACACACACACACACACACACACGCGCGCGGAAAATTGAAGCAGGGGCATACATAAGTGGCAGAGTGGCAAAAGAACCCATCGACAACTGTTGCCAATTAGCAGGCAACATGCAAAGCGCATTTGCATCTGCATCTGCCGTACCGGCAGCATGCCACAGCAGGCAGTGTCACAACGGAAGAGAAGCAGCGCAACGCAACGCTGGAAAATGTAATCAGTTCAAGTCGCAATGGGAGATTAGCTACAGGTAGGAGCATCGATCGACCCATCCGGCTAATTGAGCTCTCGAGTTACTTTCACTGAAGCGCCTTGCCTTCGGGTTGCGTCAATAAATTCGCCAACGGAGAAGATGTGCGTGGATCAATCTGCTACCTGCTACCTGCTACCTGCTACCTGCCACCGTGCCTTGCCCCTTGTGCCTTAAAAGTCCCCTGCACACGCACTGATTGCATCATTTGGCCTCTGACAAGAGACGGAAGACGAGAGAGCATTAGAACAGCGTTTCGATTTGAATAGCAACGAGCAGAGCATCTCAGCATCCAATCCAATCGCACGGCCAGGAGACAATGTCAGAAACGGCGAGAAACAACCCAACCCGAAAAGGGGAGGAGACCGTGAGCTATGCCCTGTACTTGCACCGCCAGGAACTGGGGCGCCCCAAGCGGCGTCTGATGCGCATTGCCGGCACCAAGCTGCAACTGACAAACGAGCTCATCCTCCTGCAGCAGCGGCGTCAGTGGGCGGCCGATAGTCCCGCGGAGCTCGTCTACCAGCAGAGGAGTGCCCTCAATCGGGAGAGCATGTACCGCGACCGGCTCTGGCGCAACATGCAGCGGCAGCTCGAGAAGCAGCACCACCGCCAGCGGCTGAATCTCCAGCAAATGGGAAAGCTATAGAATATCTACATATCCGCCAGATATGTGCACAGGTTTAGGGTTAGTCCAAGGGACTTTAAGGCAGTTTAAGTGATAAGCAATAAAGCGGCATAAATCATCAAAAGAACTCGTGTCGGAAGGCGAAAGGAAAAACGGATGCAAGGCAAAAGCCTGGCTAAAGTGTTTGACTTTTGACACTCTCTCCCCAAGGAGAGACGGTCTCCACTTTGGCAGCAGTCAGGCAGGATGCCATGCTTGTTTCGACTAAAAGATACCCTGGTAGAGAAAGAGGTTCGTATTTGAAATACCATCTTGGGGGCGTAGCTTACGAAGCCCCCTTCTTGCCCTACACACTACAGGGTATTCAAAGAGTGCCAGCACGCCACAGAACCAGCAAAAGGAAGTGCAACAGCAGCCGTGCGGCGCAGCGCAGCGGCAGCGGCAGCCCAAAGGTAAGCGCGCGGCAAGTTTTTTTTGTTTTTTTTTTTCAATTTCCTGCTGCCATTACGCGTAGCATCTCGCAGCTGTTTCCCCCACTCCCCACGCTCCTTCACTTGGCCATTGACGTTTTGCGCGCACTGTTCTAGCACCGGGGAGGAGGAGGAGGATGAGGAGGAGGAGGAGGGGAGCCCGAGAGGAGCTTGTTGTTGTGTGTCTTCGCTCTCGCTTCTCGCTTGATTTGTCACACAGTCCCAACGGGAAAATAAACCTGTCCCCCCTCTGGGCCATGGAAAACCGGTATCACTCGGTGTACGCTTTCTTTTTGTGTCCACTGTGGGTAGTGGGGTAGAGGGGATAGGGGGGGCGGGGGGGATGACACAGCGTTGCATCTCTTCTTAGAACAGAGAGAAGCGCGCTCTCGTATTTAGTTGCAATTCCTTTGCACACACACACACACACACACGCATAGACTGGATCACACACAGCATCTAACACACACACACACACGCAGTTATTCGTCTCCCACACACACACACACACACACATACACTTTGGTTATTTCTCTCCACTCCACCAGAGGTTTCCCTCTCGCTCTCTCACTCTCTCACACTCCTTTGCTGGTTTTTCTTCTTTACTATTCTAAGTGCAGTATCTTGCCGCGTTTCGCTTAGTTTTTGTTTTTGTTGTTTTTGTTGTTGTGGCATGTCGGTTATTTATGCGCCTTGTTGTCCCAATTCTTGAAAAATGCTACAACAAGCCTCGGTCTTGTTTCTCTCTCTCTCTCTCTCTCTCTCTCTCTCTCTCTCTGTCGGCCAGCCTGCCTGTGTGTCCGTGCGGTTTAGTTTCTGCACTTTAAGCGGGCTTGCCAGCTATTTTTAATAAGCACAACAGCAAAAACAAACAAAAATAAAAACAGCCTCCTTTTGCTTTTTGCTGGGACCTACCTTACACTATCCATCAGCCACGAAACGCTCCACTGGAAGAGACAGAGAGGGACAAAAAAAAAACGAAGATTTTTTTTATTATTTGTAAGCAAAATCAATATGGAGCCTCCGCTGCACACAACATTTTATAGCCACCGGTGACGGCGGGCGAGAACTGACATCAATTTTATACCTTTTCAAATTGTTTTTCATAACCCATTTTCGTATAAACGTTGCCGCACTCTGTTGGGCACCAGATAGAGCACATTTTGTTTATTGTTCTTTATATTCCACTATTTTTTTTGCGCCCTTTTTGCTCTCGACAAAAAAAAATTATGAAAATGACTGTTCTGCTTCTACGCATCTTTTTTTTGTTCTCTTCTTGAACGAGGGCTGACACGCTGGCTGATCGTTTTCAGGGCTGCGCAATGAAAGTTTTGAGGGTTTTTAAGCCTGTGACGTCATTAATCAGGGCTAAGAAAATGATGGGAATGACATGGCTAGTCGGTAGGTAAGTTAGTTCTAGTTAATCTAGCAGGGTGTTTTTGTTCAAGAGTAAAAAAAAAGAGTGCAAGGAGTTAAAGAATGTACATTTTCAATGTTCACTTATACCCCTCGACACCTCACACCTTGCCAAATGTCTTTGTAGTCCACCCCATCTTCGAACACATCATCCATGGCTGCGCTCTCTATTTTCGATGCTCCGTCTCCTTCACCCACAATTCGCTAATAGGATCCCGCTACTTGCGCTCTCACGCGCTATTCGGCACTCCGTCTCCCTTACACTCATGCAGTTCCGCCGCTCATTTACTTGCGCTCTCCAACTCTTCTGCTTGCATTCAAGGCAAACTTTGCGCTCTCTATGATTTTTGCTAGAGCTGCCGCTGCCGCTGTCGCTGCTGGCGCTGCTGCTGCTGATGTATTTGCTTTTGTTTTGCACTTGGACAACCGTTACATTTTGCTCCTGCTTCTGTTTTGTTGCATTGAATTCTGCGTGTCAGCAGCGGGCGGGCGGGCGGGCGGGCGTACAACAGCAGCTGTGTTGGCCACTAAAAAAAAACAACTGTAATAATAGAAACAATAATAGCAAACAAAACACACAAACACAGAGAGAGAGAGAAACAAACAACATTGTACAAATAACAACACTTTTTATTGCTGCCAATGCTAGATGGAAAGCACAAGAAGAAGAGCGGTAAAAGGGTGGCAGCCAGGCCATGGGAAATACAAGGTGAGGTCCCCTAAACGCCGCCAGTGAGTGACAAAAGCCTTTTAACTGATTAACTGGAGCAACAGAGACAGCATGCAGTGCGAGCGGGAGAGTCCAATTGAGCTGTCCAGTTCTGCGACTGATGCCCAGAAGCCGTGTCTCTCTCTCTCTCTCTCTCATAGGGCTTTTAGGAGACGTTGGTCCTTTCCTTGTTTGGAATATACTTTGGGCAAGTGGTCTAGGGATAGGAAGAAGTGCCAGAGCAGTTAACACAAATAAACAATTGCACTTGTGTGTGTTTGCGTGTGCGTGTGTGTGTGTGTGTGCGATGGCTGTTCTACCCGTAATTCTCTGAGCTGCTAAATCGTCTGTAAATACTTTTGTACAAGTTAACAGTTATAAATGGGCTTTTTATGAGTTGTGTTTCTATCAGTGCTCGTGTGTGTGTGTGTGTGTGTGCGACAATATTTGTGCGAGCACTACACAACACTGGCCATGGTCATGGCCGGCAAAGGAGTGGGGAGAGGGGGTGCTGGTCTGGTCTGCCCCATATCAAATAAATGGGTATTTGATGCCACTGCCGCTGATAGTGGAATCGAGTTGCTGCTTGTGTTACTGTTACTGTTACTGCCACAGCCACTGCATCACTGCTTGAGATCCACATTTTTCATGTTGCCAGCATTCAGACAACGCTTAGAAAGTCACTTGAGGGATATGGACAACAGCTACAAACCAACACAAACACTTTGCTTATGTCTGTCTCTCTGTCCGTCTGTCCGTCAGTCAAGTGAAATCGTATGCCGCATGCTGCAGCCAGCTCTGGCCCCCTGCCACAGCTCCAACTTCCAATCGCAATACCAAACTCCAGCTACAACTCGATGTCTGCTCGTTGTCTGGCCAAGTGGCAAGCAGTTATTGTTACGATTTATGGCATACGCACAACAGATGAACAGACCCGACCAGCCCCAGTCCCAGCCCCAGTCCCAGTCCCCCCCCCCAACCAAAGCACAACACCATTCCAGAGACAACACAGTGGCGAAGCTCTAAAACTGGTGCCAGATTAGGATTAGAATAAGGATCGAATGGAGAGATTTGAGGCCAGTGAAAGCAGGCGATACTTATGAAAGGGCTGAAGGCTGAAGAAGATCTAGGAAGGGGATATGAAGAGGATACCTTATGTAGAGCTATTCAAATAATGGTCTTTCCTTTCCTTTTTCCTTTTTCCCATTCAATTCAGTTCAGTTTTTCTTGGGAAAGTACCACTGTCCAGCCATTTTCATCCGTTTTCAGTTTGTTCATTGGGGGATTTTCTATTGATTTTCTTGCTGCTGCTGGTGGTGTTTTCTATTTGCTGTTGTTGATTTGCCACACGTCCATAATAATGCTAAGAAATGGAAATCATAAAAGTCAACAATCATCCACGTTGGCCATGACCAGATTACAGCCAACAGCGGGTGGTGATTGGGGGGTGGCGGGTGGTGAGGGGGGGTGCTCACTGAACAGTTAGTTGCAGCTTGAATTTGCACCGGCATCATTAGGAAAATTTGTGCGCTTTCGTCAAAAGAAATCAACCTGCTACAACAGAAACACCATAATAATGATGTTGATGCTGCATTTTGTGGCAGAGCGCGCGGTATCGTTAGGCCAGGTGAAAGATGTGCCAGGAGTTGCCCCTTGGAGACCATGGGCTGCCCACCAACAGTGTGACATTCGGCAAAATGCTCGACATTAATCTTAGTTGGTGGGGGGGTGGTGCGGGGGGGTTGATTATCCCCCCCCCCCCACCATGTTGCACTTTGGTGAGCAATTTTCACGTTTTGTTGTTGTTTTGTGTTCGACAGTGAAAGTAAAAACTGCCAACACAAAACTCTATGCATGCATAAACATGTTCAGACATGATGACAGCCACACGACGCCACGCCACGCCACGCCATGCCACGCCGCGCCACGCCATGCCATGACACGCCCTTAGCCCATTTGCATGACAGAAATCAAAGCTGAAACAAAAGTAATGCAAGATTAAATGCCAAAAAACAATCAACAGCAGGGGACACACAGAGAGAGAGACGCAGAGAGAGAGAGCGAGAGGGAGAGAGAGGGAGACACTGCCCTACAAACAAACAAAAACAAAAGTCAAAACCAATATTTATTATTACACAGCAATGCAATGCGAATTTTCATTTTTGTGTTAATATTCTCTTACGTCTGTGTGTGTGTGTGTATCCGTATACCCTTACACCATAACGGTTATAAGCCGATACACCCATGAGCTTTGTCATAAATATCACCAGGGGGGGGGGGGGGGCATTACCCCCCATAAATAGTGGAGGAGGAGTATCGAGGACATTCTCGAAGTTCATCTAAACATATTTTGGTCAATTGATGGAGATTTTGGGCTTGTATTCGTGTTGAGAAAAGCGCTTAAACCTCAGATTGATTCCCATTTT